GCAGTGTCACTGGCCCTCATATGTGGGATCTGAACCAGGGCCCTCTGGCATCCCAAGCCAGCTCTTAACCAACGCGCCACTCGGCCGGCCCGGTAAATACTATTTCAATTCACGGATTTGAACTGACACAAATCTTTACAAATCTGAAGTGGAGAACCCATCTGTCCACAACAGTAAGACCACACAGTCTTTAAAGAGGAAACTTTTGATTCAGGTCCACATAAATTCTGGCTTACAGCAAATATTTTGGTCAGTTGGTGGCCTAGCCTAATTCCCTCGATTATTCTTCCCCATATAAAAGTAACATTTACTTATTTTAAACTAGCCAATGTTTTCTACATTTTAAATAAATTCCTTAAACATATTTTAAGGTGAACTAAAATACTGTAAGAATCCTTGAAAAAAGAAATACTTTTGGAAATATAATTAGCGCTATTTAATTATATATAATTAATTATATACAATTATATAATTAATTATATAATTGTATATAATTAATGTATTTTAATTCTATAATTAAAAGACAAAGCAACCTAGCCCAGCATTAATATCGGGCTTTCTCTTTACCTTGGCACATGGAGACACTGTATAATCGGAAGGGCACAACCACAAAAACACTGAGTTTCATTGGAGTTTTTCATTTAGGCTTGAGATGCCCCATATTTTCTGGGCCTTAAGTTGAGCTATGTTTCTCCTATTATATATTTGTGGAAAACATGGCTTTTCACAGGTTCTCCGTCCCTAAGGAAAAATGGTCCATATACTGAGCAATAGCCAGATACTTCTAACCAGTTAATTTAAAATTTTCAAACTTTCTAAGGTTGGAGAGTTTTTCTTTTTGTTTGCTTTTGAAATTAAATTATACATTTTTCCTTTTAACGTGATTTGAAAATTCAGAAAATTATATTTGGGTGTATAAATTGAATTTAAAAGTTAATTACAAAACCATTTAAATCTGAGTTGGAGAAAATGGGAACGCAAAAGATTCATGTGAACTTTGGACTCAGGCTTTCCAATGATCATGAGCTTGGAGAAACTTACTTCTCTGTGTTTTAGTTATTTCAATATTAAGACTAGTGTAGATATAAGTAACTACATGACTAAAAACTTAAAAATTTTATGACCATTCCTGAAGTATATTATAGAGTTCTGAATGAATAGCACATCTAATCAATTATAGATACAAAGGCACCAAGATAAAACAAAGTTCACTTTTCTGATTATGAGAAAACTATAATGAAACCAGGAAAGATAAATTTTCGTGAATATTTCCAGGGTCAATTGTTTCCAAAATATGAAACATTAGAAACCTTGCAGGACCTTCTGACTGAAACTAAAATGCTTGAAAAAAAATTAAAGTATTTTTTAAAACACGTTAGAGCTGGCACCAAAGAACAGAAGCTGGCAAGCCCCTCCAAAAAAGTGAAACCAAGAGCACTAATAAGAGCCCAAAGCCAGCTTTCACTCTTGAGGTTTCTGCTGAATCCTGCAGACACTGATTTTTTGCTCTGATAACTGCACAGGAAGCGATAAAGCTCAAGGCCCACCCAAGGTGATGAATTTACTTAATAGGAGACCCTACTTATAATGCTGGGGTCACGAAGGACTGCATCAGTAGTGAAAGGATGAATTAAAAACAGCCCTCCTAGGGCCAGCCCAGTGGCGCATTGGTTAAGAGCTAGTTTGGGAGTCCAGCTCTGAGCAGTAGGGCACCCGGTTCGGATCCCACATGGGGGCCAGTGACGCTGCATCCTCTACAGCTAAGATGATGAACAACAGCTCGACCTGGAGCTGGGCTGCCGTGAGTCGCCGGCGACAGCGTAGGCTGCAGCCCCTGCTGTAGTGGGCTGCCATAAGCTACCATGTGTGGCTGGTAGCCAGCGTGAGCTGCTAAGAGCTGGCGTGAGTGGCCGTCCAGAGGCTGGTGACCGATGTGCCTCACCCAGGAATAGAGCAATGATAACACCAACATGGGTTAGTGAAGCAACGTCCTTCACAACTAGACTGAAGAACAAAACGACAGCAACTTGTCTGTTCCCCTTCCCCCAATTCCTCAATAAAATCTTTAAAAAAAAAAAATCCCTCCTAGGGAATTTTTGGTGATGGGACAGGTCTGCATCTTCATAGTGATGGTGGTTACATAAATCTACATATGTGACAAACACACAGAACTGTGCACACATATACACACATAAACGCAAATGAGCACCTGTGAAACTGATGAAATCTGAACAGTTATGGATCATACTGATGGCAATTTCCTGGTTTTGATATTGTACTAAAGTTATGCAAGACCCAAAACAATAGAATTCCTAGAAGAAAACTTAGGAGGTATGCTCCTTGACTTTGGTTTGGCAATGGTTTCTTGGATTTGACACCAAAAGCAAGGGCAAAAAATGCAAAACTAAAGTAGAACTATATCAAACTAAAAAACATGGGTGAACCTGGGGGCCACTACACTAAATGAAATAAGTCAAAGAATAAAAAGACTGCATGGTATCACTTATATGTAGAATCTTAAAAAAAAGTTGAACTCACAGAAACAGAAAATAGAAAAATGGTTGCCAGGGGCTGAGAGAGATGGGAGAAACTGAGAAATTGGTAAAGGGTACAAACTTTCAGATATAAGATGAATAAGGTCTGAGGGAATAATGTATAACATGATGATGATAGTTGACAACATTGTACTGTATAATTGAAATTTGGTAAGAGAGTAGAACTTAAATGTTCTTGCCAAAAAAAAAAAAAAAGGAAAATATGTAAGTTGGTGGATGTGTTAATTAACTTAATGGGGGTATTCCTTTAATAATGTATATACTATTATCACGTAACCAGTAAAGTCGTAACATGGTAC